AAAAGTAAATTTTATAATGGGTATGGTTGAGATTCATTGAAAATATATAGATAAGTCAATATACAAAATTTGAGGAAGATTGGAGGTGATTTGGACTGAATTGGTATCAAAATTCGTAGTTAAAATCGAGTTCAAAAAATTCTTATGCGACACATGTATCAAACATGTATCACGCATATATCTCACACACAAATTGGTCGAGAAAAAGAACCGCGCTAGTCGGAATTTGGGGAAAGATAGAGAGCTCTCTAGGCTCTCCTGATTTATACATGGATATACATGTGATACATATTTGATACAAACATGATACATATCTGATACACAGTGTGATATACATATCATTTTTTCATGTTCATGTTCATGTTCATCTTCTACTTCGAATTTTCAATTCAAACCATCTAAAAACTCCACCAAATCATCCCAAAACTGAGACTCAAGTCCCTTAAGATGTACCCAATCTATTTTAATAATACTCACTCAAAAGAAAGCAAAAATTGACTTTATTTTGATTACAAATAGCTAATTGGCTAATATTAGTAATGATTTAGGAATAGGCCAATTTTTGTAATAAGCTACTTATAAATGAACATAGTTGATACTTTTCCTTTAAATACCTCCGAACCGACGCAAACAGTTATTGCTTTTCAGGGATACTCTACCATATTAGTAGAGTTTATATTATATTTACTCTACCTTTCTGTTAAATTGTTCACCAAAGTTTACCCGATTGGCATGATTTTGTGCTTGTTTAATTGTTCATCAAACTTTACAAATTGGCATAACTTTGTGTTATTTTTATTTTATATACTATATGTTAAATTGTTTACAACTCTACCTAGTGGGCATAATATTGTGTTTGTTTAATTGGTCAATCAAACTCTATCATACTAGCATGAATTTATGTGAATCTACATGGGCATATTTGTTAAATTGTACATCAAAGTCTACCTAATAATCGTAATTTATCAGTATTGTTTAATAAAGTATTTTTCGAAAAATATAATTTGGTACATAACAGTATGACAAAATGGTAGAAGCTATAAATATTATATTACTGTATAGCACTTGGTACAAAATCCTTCCTTGTTGATAGATTTTAGTTTAAGCTTAAACAAAGGAGAGGACGCGAGGGCCATTTATTGAAAGTCGCCAATTATTGGTTGAAATTGTGAATATTTTGACAAATAAACATTCTTTATTTTAAAACAAGTGCTCTCTTTTTCACAAAGTTTTATTTGAGAAAAAACAAACTACCAAAAATAGAACTTGGCGTTTTTGAAACAATAACAGTTGATTCCAGCTTCATTCACTCAAAAGATATTTTCTGAAACCATTTTGCAAACAACATCAGAATACTCACCAAAATCAAAAGATTTTTTTATACTCTGTCGAGAATTCAAGTTGCTCCATCTTAATAGAACAAAAAAGAATTAATTGGAAGAATAAGAGCTATCGTGACACCTAGAAATATTTGAACTTGTTTGATTTGAGGTATACGAATAGAAATAATCATGGTATAAAATTAGACATTACTTTATTCACTGGAGCATGTTTGGAAAGTCATGTTGTAATTGAATTTGAATATAATTGGGTATAAGTATAGAATTTTGAAAAATTTGTTTTGACGAAGTAATTACTTGGTCAGTATGAAATTAGGTGTAAGTGAAAGGGACTAATTACACTCTCAAATTCTCAATAAGATGATAAGAATTGATGGTAATTACATGTTTACAAGGTAATTTTTGCAATATCTAGTCTATATAACTATTAAGCTGTATAATTACTACCTCAGTTCTTACATCAAATCCAATTACAAGGTGTCCTTCTAAATGTTTTGATTTGTAACTTGACTCTTGCATAGATAATCCTGATATAATTTAATACATTAACTGGTGATTTGGTTTACTGTTTTATACCTAAAATAGCATGAGATAACAATTCATGGATAATGAATTCAACACTAAAAGACAAGATTATCATTTGCTTTTCCAGCATCATCAACATCCTATATATCTCATTTTCAATACAACAACCAAAAAACAAAACTTTGCATTATAATTCTTCTATTGCTAATCACTCTATTATTGTTCTTATATTGCTAATCAATAAATTATACTAGTTCTTATATTGCTAATTACTGCATTAATGATTTATGCAATTCATGCATAAATGTTTTTAAACCAAACAACCCTATTGCGCTTAGGGGTGCTTATCAAGCGGGTCAGGCGAATATTTACGTTAAGGGTTTTGCTTATTGGTTATCGGTTTGTAAACATAGTAATCCGCTAGCCATTCAATAAGACGTCGGGCGGATTGGTATCAGTTAGCTTTTATCAGGCAATTTATGAGCTAAATCAAATAGACAATAAAAAGAAGTTGAGAATTAAAGATAAGGAAAGATTTGGAGTAAAGCATTACATTTGCTCGGTTCTCGCCTCTCTCTAGTCAAGCATTTATATAATCCGGTTGTTAGCGGTGCTACTAATAACAAGTTCATGTACAGAGAGAGAGGGAGAGAGAGATAGGATGCCCAATCTCAATAGATAATTCTTGTAAAATAAAACTCCTTTTTCTCTTAGCTTTGTTGATCATATAGTTCAAGATTGTGGCTTAAGAATATGCACTCTACATATGTTACTTACTAGATCATGATAGCAAACAAAATGATGACATATTATGGAAACACAATATACAGATCTTGTTCTATGAAGGCTTAGGTTAAATCACCACGACTATGTTGCCACAAATTGATGATATCGGTAGCTTGATTAAGAAGAAGAATCATCTGCTTCTGTTATATCTAAGGTTTACTCTCCATCGTGATTTTAAATACCATTTTCATAGGAAAATCAAACAAATTCAATCATACATCAAGGTCTACATATGTTACTTATCATCAAATCCAATCATACCTCAAATATTACTTTATATACATATGGGTAAAAGTGTAAATATAAAAATTTTTAACGGGTTAACGGTTTATCCAATAAGAAAATTGAGTAATCTTTTCTCAGACCGTTAAGTCGTTAATTATAAAATTTTAATCCGTTCACCAACCATTATCCCGATAACCCGATACCAATAAGCCAATAAATCGTTTTTGCGATTAACTGTTACTGTTCGATTTTGAACAATACTGATTGCGCTTGAACGATAAAACAATAGGTTATTTTCACTAAAAACCAAACAACATCGAATAAGTGGATAACTGTTAGCCCCTTGACAAAGTTCCTCGGCAAATGTGGGTTGTGACAAGGATTTTCATGATGGTCTTGGCACACAACCTGAAAAATAGAGCAACATCATGACGGGCAGCTCGGCATGACGGACTATGCGGGGTTGACAAACACACCTTGACGAAGGCAAGTCGCATTTCACATGGACGTGTGTGTTGGCATAACAATGACAAGGCAAAACCATGTCAGAGTAGGGGCCAAGACATGACAAGACAAGGTAAGACAAGCAATGGCATCAATGTGGGCAAATTTGATCTAAGTTAAGGGCGACTTGACATAGGCGATCAACTGTAGCAATGTGCGTGTGCGGCTAAGTCAATGAGCGGCAAGCTGTGGCCATGACATTGGGGCAGGGCAGTGTCAAAAGGGCAAGGCTGGGCGTAATGCCAGACTTGGGCGCGCAACAGCTGGGCAAAACAGGCACATGCAGTGCACAAGCATCGGTTACAAAAGTGTGCTGGGCACATGACACACAATTCAACCACATCCAAAACATGACTGATCATGGGGCTAAAGTATAGTCACGTTTTTGTAACATGTCTTATCATGTTTGCCCATCATTTGGGGCTTGTCAACCGATTGTTTTAGATGCTGCCAAGTGTAATTGGGCAGCTTGCACTATAAATATGTGCATAAGACTGTCCCAAATGGGTAGAACTTAGTCTTGTGGCAATTTGTTAAGCCAAAAACGTCTAAGTAATTCCTAAGGGGGGGAAATCATTTCGGGGCAGGGAACTAGGGTGTTCTTTGTTCTTGGCCGTAGGGTTGGCTTATTGTGTTCTTGTATTCACATAATAATACGAGTTGGGAAGAGATTCTTGTAAATTTCGTGTGTGCCTTTACTTTTCCTAAATTTATTCCAAGTCCCAAACGTCCTAAAATAGTTCTAAGTATTGGAAAGGTTGAAGTCAAGGTTGGGTTTGACTGCCGCAATGGTGAACCTCAGCTAAAATTCGGGTGACATAAATCACCCATGTGACAATAACCATGTCGCAAATATTACTAGTTTCGTGGAAACTGAACTTTCGCTTAGGGGTGGGCATATATCGGGTAAAACCGATAACCCGAACCGTTAATTCTTTATTGGGTTATCGGTATTGGGTTATTGGGTTAACGGTTCGGTAACGGGTTATTTTTTTTTTATTGGGTTATCGGTTTGGGCTCGGTTTGCATTTTTGTTATTGGGTAAAAACCGATAACCCAATAAGAATGATGTAATTTACTAATTTACACTTAAGTATACACTAGAGTTATTTATTTTCCTAATTCCCTCTTCACTTTTTAGTCTTGAGTCGTTTGTCTCTCAGTTCTCATTCTTGTTTCCGTCGCAGCCCCCACGAGTCAAGACGCAAGACTCACCACCAGTTCTCCGCCAGACATCAGTAGATACTGCACAGAAGTGGGAGCGTGCTTTTGTTAAGAAACAACAAAAGTTGGCAGTTTACACGTTCTGGCAGTTTGATTTCTTTGTTTTATATATTGCAATTTTTTTTAGTTGTTTTATGTTATCGGGTAAACCGCTAACCGAACCGATAACAATATATAACCGATTAACAGCTAACCGCTAACCAATATCTTATCGGTTTGATTATCGGGTTATGATATTTGTAAACCGATAACCGATAGGCAAAACCGATAATGTTCAAAACCGAACCGAACCGACCGATGCCCACCCCTACTTTGGCTTATTAGAGACGAGACAGTATGTCACCTTATATTCTCATTGGAGAAATTACATTTGTCTTCAAAGGTAACTAAAGTCAGGCTTAAACAAATTCCATGATGTAGACAAGCAAACAAAAGGCAAAACCAAAATCCGCGAAGCAACAGGAGATGACAATACCAAGCCGGCCGGTAAACGTTAATCATCTCATTGACACAACAGTTCAGCGGTTCACGTTAAAAGACACCCCTCCCACGCATTTCAAACTTTTCTTTTATCCCTCCCGACCCCACTACAACATAAGAACTTGAAAATTCAGAAATGCACCCCGAATTTGCTCAGATCAAACTCTCTCAAGTCCTAATTGATCTAACAACCAGACCATTCTTAATTTATCCATAAGGACTTGTTGTTTTCATAATTACAAAACAGTAATCAAATCGGAAAACCAACCAGTTGCCGGCGGAGAAGAGTGAAGGTGTGGAATGACGATGGACAGAGAGAAGGAGAGGGAGATAGAGTTAGAGAGTGCAATGTACACTAACTGTTTGTTACTAGGTCTGGATCCATCTATCATTGGAATCGGAGCTAACAATGGCACTCCTCGTGTTGGACTTTTTCGTCATTCAAACCCTAAATTGGGAGAACAGCTTCTTTACTTCTTACTTTCTTCTCTTAGAGGCCCTGCTCAATCCGCGAAGGTACTCTGAATGAAGTTTTTAGCTTATATAGGCTTATGGATTTATATTTGATGCTCATTTTTGTTTCCTTTTGATCTTTCAGGATTTCGATAAGGTCTGGCCTATATTTGATTCAGCTCAATCTCGTGATTTTCGAAAGGTAATTATGCTTTAGCTTTTCCTTAAAAGATACTCCCTATGTCCCCATTTATGTGCTTGATCGGTGCGGAATTCAAGAAAACAAGAAAGACTTTTTTAACTTGTGCTCTAAACATGCTATATACATTTGTATGACTATAAATCATCTCATATGTGGATAAAATGAGAAGTTTAAAGTTTAATTATTTCTGAATATAGAAAGATATCATTCTTTTTGGTGTCACATAAAATGGGACAGAGGGAGTAAATTATTTTACGGGACATGCAGAATAGAGCTAATGGATAAGTATATTCTGATTGAAGCATAGTCTGACCAAGTTAATTTAAGTTGATTGAATTATGCTTTATTTTTAAAGAGATGTGATTCGTGAATTGAGTTTGACTTTTTTGTTTGTGGCTAATTTACTTCATTTTTTTTTTATTTTTTTTTGTGGAAATGCAGGTTGTGCAAGGAATTATAAGCGAGTTGGAATCCCAGGGGGCACTTCCTAGAAGCAATTCGAGGGTCTCATCTCTTGCGACGTGTTGTGGACCGAGGTTGGTACTTGAAGGTCACTAATATTTTTTTTTTCTGGTTTCTATGAGATAGCGTTTTGGTTATTTTTATTTTGAGCTATCATTTGGACCATTTGATTACATATTGAAGTATCTTTCTCACATAGCTGTTATAGCACCGGTTGTCATCAGCAAACTGAAGATTATTTTGTGGAGACTAATTTTGATTTCACTACCTAATCGATTTTGGAGTAATTAACTCACCCTCAAGATTGCAACTTCAATGTCTTTCTGTATTCAAAGTCAGGTTACATTTAAACGGTGCAGTTTGGCACCGCATTCTACACTTCAGTCACTTAGCACCCAATTGAAACAGCTACCATATTCAAATATGAAGCTGAATGTATATCAAGATAAGTCTTACCATCTAAACTCCTCTAAGTCAGGACAAAATCCTTGGAGTCGGATTGCTGCGGTTACAATTGTCTTGTTCACTGCATTTGGTGTCGCTGCTTGAAAGTGGGTGAAATCAAGTTATCTCTTGCTTGGTTTTATCCAAGACTATTTGGCTGGTCACCTTATTGCCACTGCAAAGGGCTTAGGACTTGGTGAAAGGTGTTTGTGCAAGAAGTTTCGCATCGGCTCATGCACTAGGATTGGGGAAGTGGCTTTGTTTGTACGGACCTTTGATCCTATGGTTCAACTATTAGGTTTCTTTGACTAATCACACAGAAGATGACATATTGCCTGATATTTTTGGGCAGGAATAATCAAGAAGTAGGTTATCAGTGGAAAATACTTAGATTGCAGCATCAGGGAGGGACATAACTCCTAAGTAAGCACGCCTTGAAAATGCGCAACTTAGAGGTTATTTCTGTGATTTCAGTACACAACCTGACTGAGTTAATTTTTGAAACTGACCCTAGGCTTTGGTCCAGTGGTAATTGCGCAACACGTGATGTGTGGGTTAGACACACATCATGAGTTCGAACCTTGTTGCAGATAAAATCGTGGTAAGTGGAGAAGGATAGAAGGGTGGATCCATCATTTACCAGGTTCTGAACCGTGCGCCGGCTAGCCCTCCGGATTTCTCCGTTATATAAAAAAGTAAATTTACGAATAAACGAGTATTATTGAGTTTTATCAGCGCTGTTATTTAATCATCTAATTTCATGATCTTTTGACATAGGAATTAATTGCCTTTGCAATTGGCAGTTCTAACACTGGCTGCTTGTTATTCTTATTATCTACCTGTGTGTCAGCAGTTTCACTTTGCATTTTGTTCTATAAGTGCGCAGGTTCGATCCTCCGCTTCCACCGTTTATTGAAAAAAGAAACACTCACGTTTAAAAGCACACATGATAGCATTTGATGTACTTAGTGTTCATAATTGCTTCACATGCACTGCAGATTTGTTGAACTTCTGTGGCAACTCTCACTGCATGCCTTGAGGGAAGTTCATAGGCGAACATTTGCTGCTGATGTAGCTTCTAACCCGTTACCTGCTTCATTGACAGATGTAGCTTTCTCACATGCAGCCACCTTACTTCCTGTAACCAAGGTCATCCTCCTCTGGCTTTATGTCCATTCGTTTAACAAGGGACTTTGAAAATCATCTCACTGTTTGTCTACATCCTGAGTTGCTGGGTTCTTGATCTCTAATGATTTAATGCATCTGTCGGGTAGTTATATCTGAAGACCAGGGTTCAATTTCTGCCATTTCAAAGAAGCAATGCATGAATCCTCTTAATTATTCACTTTTGATGGCTTAGTTTTCTTTTTGTATGAAGCTATTTCCTGTTACTAATCCTAATAATATACCTTGGAGTAATGGTTTCTCCTTTTTCAATACTCCGTAATAAGGTATTGAGTGGGGCTATAATGATTTTACCTAGCTAATCTTTAAGCTAATATGTATCTGGAAAACTCTCATGATTTGTGTAAGTTAATATTGCAAGTTTGCAGATCTAATTGTGTCCTTGTTGTCTGTGTAGGCTAGGATTGCTCTTGAAAGAAGAAGGTTTCTGAAAAATGCAGAAACAGCAGTTCAAAGACAGGCCACATGGTCTAATTTGGCTCATGAGATGACAGCTGAGTTTCGAGGCCTTTGTGCTGAAGAGGTAAGATAAGAATCTTATTCTCTGAGAACTTTAGAGTTGATTTATATTCTTATATTCACAGCGGTGACTGGTGAGTAACTCTTTCCGGAAAACATCTTTCATCCCCTCGGTCTCAGGCTTATTTGCAGCAAGAACTTGAAAAACTGCATGATGTTAGAAACAAAGTAAAGTTGGAAGGTGAACTGTGGGATGAACTTGTATCAAGCTCGAGCCAAAACTCACATATGGTCCAAAGAGCTACTCGCTTGTGGGACTCTTTGCTATCTCGCCAAAGTGAGTACAAACTGTTGATGGTTATCTTAAGCTGTCTATCATCTGTAAAATCCATAAAGTCTCTATTAGTATGTGTTCTACAAAATGCTATATACTCTGTAGTTTGTTTTTCATATGGCAATGCCATTGCCCTGCCTGGGAGTCAACAGTGGCCATTTCCACTTCGCTTTCTTGGTGATTGAACCCACAACCTCAGGGTTGGAGGTGGAGGACCCTTTCCACTAGCTATCCTTCCCTTGGCACAAAATGCTAGACATTTGATATTGCAATTAATGTGATAATTAGATATTAAAGTGGTCCCAGATCAGTTTTAACATCTTCTAAATCATATTACTTATGTGCATATGTCGTGCAGCTCAGCACGAGATTCTCGCTTCTGGCCCAATAGAGGATCTTATAGCTCATCGTGAGCATAGGTAAAGTCACTTTCTGTATGATCTTGGGTTTCAAAAGCTGGACTTACCTTTTTTTTTTTAATATTCTTGTTCAGGTATCGTATATCTGGGTCAGCTTTGCTTGCAGCCATGGATCAAAGTTCTGTAGCTCCACCTCGTGATTTAGTTCCATCACATCTAGATAATAAAGATCAATCTGAAAGATCACAAGCAGATTTTGATAGAGAAAAGCGTGTGAACAATCCAGATTCTTCTCATACTCAAGCAAATGATGAGAGTTTTTCTCGAGTTGATGAAAGGACTGCAAGAGCCCATCCAACTATTGATATAGCTGAAGTTTTGAGGCGTTGGACACATGCCCTACAACGAATTCATAAGCAGTCACTTCAATTGGTACGCTATTTTCTATGTTGGTTCAAGATTTTAGGTCTTTGAAGAGCGCTTTTGACCCCAATAAACTCTAAGTTTTAACTACTTTGATGGAATTTGTCATTCCTTTTTCTGTATGTTTGTGATGTTTCTTATTATGTGGTGTTCTGGGTTTCTAATGGTCCAAAAGGGGAAATAACTTCTTCTTAGAGTCTAACTATGATGTCAGAGCTTACTCTAGGAATGTGTATAATCAGTCTTAGCATGTGATAGAGTATTGTATCTGCTTATGTTTTAAGCTTAATAGAAATTAATCTGTAGCATCTTTATCTAGTGATGTCTTGAGGAAAAACTTCCAGAGTTCCGTGTTCATATGAAGCTTTCGCACATGTGGTGAAGTATAATACTGGAACCTATCTATTCTTTTGTGAATAATTAGGTTAAAAGTATGTTCTCCTCACTTTTTCTTTTTCTTCCTAATACAATAATTTCATTCAGGTAAAAGTAAATGACGGAGAGGGTCCAGAGCTTCTGAGAAGTTCACATGATGGTGGTACAAGCAGTCACGCGGAATCCTTGGCTGCAACACTTGCTGAACATAGGCAGCACCTAGCAAGTATACAGGTTGGTGCAGTCCGTCAAGTTGGTTGCATGTTTGAACTATTTTACATGGTCTAAAGTGGAGTACGAGATATGGCATGCATTGGTCATTGGGCTCTGGACCATTCATGTCCTACCCGTTGAAACTGGTTTCGGGGCCTTTGAAGATTCTAACTTAGCATTTGGAAAGTTGATTATCTGAAGAGTGGAAGTGGTATTCCTGGAATTCTCAGCATTGTGATGATAATTAGTGTATTTGTGATGATAATATACTGTTGAAACTGTTCTCCAGGTGCTCATAAATCAACTGAAGGAAGTTGCTCCAGCTATAAAGAATTCAATTACGGAGCTGACGGAAGAAGTTGATAGTATTTCGTCCGGTCTTCTCCCTATGGCCACGCATCATGCTGGATCACATTCACTGGTCCAAGCACAGAATAGCAGAACGATATCGGTAATGTTTTGTGAAGCATTTAATGGGACTTATAACTTACCTACCTTCTGCAACGCACAACAGAACTTTAACAATAGGTATTCTACAGGAGAACAGCACTGATGAGATAGCTGAGATGACCTCAAAAATGTCATCCATGCATTTTGAAAAGGCATCAGCTACAGCCAGTCCCCCTGCTTTAAAGCTCCCACCTTTGTTTAGTTTAACACCAAATTCTTCTGGAAAAGGTGGGAACATGCAGAAGCGGCAGGTCTCAGCTCAAACCAGCCAAATAGAAAATCTGCATGAGAAAAAATCTCCAGATCTGCCAATTTCAAATAATTCAATGGATAATCTGCGACAAGGTTTTGTTCTTCCTTCTAAACGTGTGCACTGATTTTCTTCAGTTTGGAATCTCTAAAATATGTTGTCTGAATTTCAGCAGATGATGACCTTAGCTTTGTCCAAAATTTGAAGAGATCCGTCAGAGAAGCTGCACTTTCCTCCCAATCTTACTATCCAGAATCATCTCAAGATAGTCGTTCTGATGATAGCTCTGAGCACTATTTCATACCTGTACCCGGGGTTGGGTTTCCTCATCTTGGTAGCAAACCAAACTTATTGAGAAGTAAAAAGCTGCTCGCGTCTGAACCAGATTCATCTTTTTATGGGAACCATCTTCCACAAAGTCATGTGGGCATCAAGTCAGATGGACTTCTTGACTTATTTAATGATCTGCGGTCTCTTGATGACTATGATGGCATAGATAGTTTTCTGTCAAC